TTTCAACTCGATATACTTGATCCAATAATTCTTCAACTTTTTCAAGCCGTCCGAATAATATGATTAGTCTAACCCTTCAAAATAAGTCTCTGTTTCGGCGATGAACTGCTCTCTGGTGGTGAATCTCTTTCCTTCGAACCATTTCTTCAGGTTTGGAAACAGAAATTGTCACAGGGAGTGAATAACTAAATCTGGCGAATATGCTGGATGAGAAAGCAATTTGTAGCGGAATTCGTTGAATTTGGCCATCGGTGCCGGGCACGTATGAATCTGTGCATTGTCTTGATGGAAGAGCATTTTCTTCTTCGCCAAATGGAGACGTTTTTTCTTTAAAATGTTGTTGAAACGGTCCAATAAGGCGTAGTAATCGCCATTGACCGTTTGCTTCGACGGAAGGTAATAGAGATGAATTATACCGCGTGAATTATATCTAAAAAAACTGTAGCCATCATCTTTCCGGGGCCACTTCATGGTCTTTGCCTTCTTCGGAGCTGATTCATTCGGTGAAGTCCATTGTTTTGATTGTTCCTTCGTCTCGGGGGTGAAGTAATGGATCTATGTTTCGTTCACAGTAATGAATCGACGCAGAAATTCATCCGGATTACGTTGAAACCTCTCCAAACATTTTTTAAATCATCACACGGTTGCGCTTATGGTCCACAGTAAGCAAACGCGGCTTCCATCTTGCCAATAGCTTTTTCATACCTATTATTCGTGCAAAATTGAAATCACTGTGCTACGTGATATGCCTGTGGTCTCAACAAGCTAGCACACTTTCACTCGTCGATCAGTCAAAACAATATCGTGGATTTTATCAATGATTTCTGGCGTAGCAGCCTCAATTGGACGTCTCCAACGAGGTGCATCACATGTGTATATACGACCACGTTTAAATTCATTCACCCAATTGCATACAGTCGCAAATGCTAGTGCTATGAACATTATCCAACTCAGCTTTGATTTATTTCGGCGTTAAATCTTTCATATGTAGATATTTGATCACTGCACGAAACTCATTTTTTTCATATCCTATTGTTCGTGCAAAATTGATTGACATTTTGCAAAAAATACAAAGGTTGTTCGTTTTAAGTTATTCGTCTACAGAAATGAAACCACGCTATGAATTCCGCTCAAAATTTGACAGTAATTAGCTGAAAGATGCTACTTGTCAAAAAGTAATGTGACATGACACTGCGAGTGCCTTCTGACAGATTTTTTAAGAACTTATTGACTAGCCTTCGTATATATGTATACACTCATATGCGAGTAACAGGCATACATAAATTTTTACCCTTCCTTTCGGTTGTAATACGCGTTCGTACATCAATAAAAGAACGAACCCTTTACATCAGGAGTAGGCGGAACCATCCGCATAGCCAAGCCACAACCGACCGATGACAGCTACCTCGAGATATCTTACTCACCAATCTTCGATTAAAACACAACCTCTAGACCTCTCCCCCTGTCATCGATCCAGTTATCCAGAATATGGTCTAAATAGTCGATCAGCACGGGATCTGATTGATACGGAGGGATTGGGAGCTGGTCTAAGAGAGGAGGGAGAGGGAATCGTTCTTTGAGAGGAGGCGGGAGAGGAAATCGTTCTTCGAGAGGAGGAAGGGAAAGTTCAGGAAATCCTGATAGAGGTGCGTACGACTCACAGATGTTCGCCTCTGCGCGTATACCTGTGAGATTGAGTCTATCCGTCCTTTTATACTCTCTCCATTCTCCCTTATTGTCTCCTTCATCGAATTTCTAAGGGTTTGGACGTAACAAGAGTATTATGAAAAAAACAACCGTTTATATAACCGATAACTGTTCAAATAACTATTATTTCGAAGTAACAGTAATATGTTATAATCGTTAGTTATAACCGTTAGTGAAAAATAACCATTTAGCCCATACTGACAGGTGTCACTCACTCCTGACAGCCGACCAATCACTGCATTTATTATTTCGGGCAAGGGGCTCTTTCAATTTAAGGTGATACCGTTTGGTCTCCACTCTTCCGCCACATTTCAGCGCCTGCTAGATAACGTTCTCAGCCCCGACTTAGAGTCACATGTACTCTATATTGACGACATCATTGTCATCAGCCGAATCTTCGACGAGCACCTGAAGCAGCTCGTTGAGGACCGGTGTGCCTTCCACCGGCTGAGGGTCGCCAAACTCCTCCTTAATCCCGACAAATGCCACTTCTGCCGGGGGCAACTCCGTTATCTAGGCACATAATAGGTAACCACGAACTCAGTCAAAGTTAGTGCCATCATCGACTGACCTGCCCCAAAGACGATACGTAAGGTACGACAATTCTTGGGGATGGTCTTATGATACCGTAATCATAATCATTGCTCCGCGTATCCGATTTATCCGAAAAGACTGGACGCATGGGGCGTTGTTTGAATGTTTGAATTCCAACAATAGCTTTAATGTACGATACTGAAAGGGCAGTACCATCGTGGCTAGGACGTTGTCCCATCGATCTGAAGCATGCAGCGCTTGATGCTATCAAAGTGTGGATGGCACTGAAGAGTAAAGATCGGGATCTGACAGCGAATGGACGACTTTCCCAACTACGTAGTCTGAGAAAAAAGATTATATTATTCCATTGAACTAGCTAAACAATGAAAGCTCTGTGTGCTCCGCGAGGAGCGACTGCAGATATTAGCGAGGCAACACAAAGAGTCGACCGCAGGTCATTTCGGAGTTATGAAAATCATCGCGCGCCAGTCTGTACTACTGGCTAGGAATGTTCTCCAGCAGAACATCACGAACTACGTCCGGCGCTAACTGTCTGCCTGGCACATAAGACACCGAGAATCAAGCCAGCCATGAATTTGCACACCAGCCCCACAACTATGTGGTGGTAAGACATTCGACTTAATAGGGCCATTATCGCGTTAGGAGCACGGATATGTCCTGATTATGCAGGACCGTTTCATAAAATGGATGGAACTAAGACTACTTCAACGAACCACAGCCGTCTACCGTCACAGAAATTCAGGACGTGATCCTTCGCCACGGATGCCCTAACAAGGTTATATCGGATAACGGCACCCAGCTAAAGTCTGCTCAGTTAAGTGCACTCCTAATAGCTTTCAGCACTAAGCATCAAATGACATCTTCACACGCTTCTCACTACAACCCAGTAGAGCGCATAAATCGAAAGACCATGATTAGACCAATACGTGGGACGAAATCATTGGCGATGGGATGAGCATCCGCCTCAGTTCCAATTTGCTTACAACACGACGGGCCACGACACGACCGGTATACCTGACTTGTGACAGTAAACTCGCATCCCAAGGATCGACGGCATATACCAATCACTGCTCCGCATTGTCCATCGCCGCTTCAAAGACTCCTTCAAGGTGATACGAATTGTAATGGCCCGAACCTTTCAGAAGCAGAAAGCCCACTGCAACCTGCGCCGATGCAACTGGCGAGTTAGGGACCAGGTGTAGAAACGGGAATACCTCCTTTTCGATAAAGCCTCAGTCTTTAACGCGAAACTCGCACCGCGATATATCAGTCCCCTGGAAGATCATCTCCCCGGTGATCGTCTCCCCGATGCGTGTAGATGTTGATATCGGCATATCCACGTCCAAAATCTAAAAAATCGTCTCCGACGCGCGACGATAAGCCAGATACAAACAGCGACGCACAGTGAGACACGCAGCTAGGCCCAACTGATAACGGAGCAGTAGACTAAGTCGTGAAGAATCACACACCTGCAAAGAGGGGGAGGCGAGAGTGATGTGACGATACACCTCCTCCTGGTCTCTATGTCTGAGCCGATCATCCTCCTGGCATACTGGGCGCTTTCCGCTACAATCCCACTTACATACGCGTACGTATAATCATGCGTGCGAGGCGTAATCATAATGAATAGGAGGAGGTCTCCCTCTACTACATACCCGGTCTGAGCAATGCTCGAGAGGCAGTCATGTCCAGATCCTCGATCCTGTCAAGACTACTACTTGATACCTCTGTCTAATTTAAGTGCTCCCAAGAATCCGTCGTAAAGTGAATGAACGCTCCCATTCACAACTAGATGCTCACAATATACAAGCTCTACGATTGGCGCTCACGGACTCCTGATAGTGCTCGCAATTTTCCATATCGCGCATAGGCGTTCTCGTACGCAACCGGGCATTCCCGCTATACGACTCGCCAGTCGAGCATTCCCAATTAGTACCCATTCTTCCTGCCACCGCTTTCGAGTCGGGTGGTTCCGACTACGTCATCGATACCGAACAGATTGCTCCCAATCCGGTCTGTTGCTCCGTATCCGCAACTTATTTCCGATCCGCCTAAAACTGCTTGTACATATCTATGACCTGTCTGCAACAACTAATACCCACGATCTGCTTTGTAACCACCGGTATATGTCCGTTACCTGCTTATTACGCAATTCGCTTTTGTAAGATATTACGGAAGATAATTCGTGCACAATGGCATATGTTACCCTGTAGAGTTGTTTGCACTCGAACAGCATAACAGCAGCGACATGCGCACGTGGCATACGCGTGCGGTTTCTAAAACCTTCGGTGCTACCTTCTGCCGCCGGGAGAAATGGAGCGCAGCTGACACTTACTATAAAGTATCGAAATCATTCAGATCGTTCACGATCATTTTGTCTGATTCATACTGTTCGATATCCATAACTAAAGTTACATTCGTGTCTCACACTATTAATTGTGCTATTGGAGCATTCGATCGTTGGAGCATTAGTACTCCGAATTCGTTCCGGAGCATCTCGCCTGGTTAGACGTCATGTTATGCATCTATTTCGTGCGTATTACCACGCAGTTCCTATAAAGCTACTTGTGAAACTACATACGAACTCATGAATAAATTCTAGAGCAGTGCTATTCAGAAATCTATGTGTCTGACATTTATTGGTGACATTCAATCAACCTATATCCTGACATAAACATTTATTAAACTTCCACGACCATTCAGAAAAAACGAACATTTATTCTTAGAAATAATGATCACATCCTGATAAGGATATGGAATTAGCTTGCCCGCTTATCCCTTACAGTTTTTCAGAAGTGAGATCAAAGATCCGTAAGTTTCCCTCGTGATTCGAATTTGCTAGTTTCCGCTCACGAACAAAAATCTGCTGATTGCCCTCAAAGAGGAGAGGCGAACGTTCGTGGTGAACTCTTATTCCGCTGTCGCAATCATCATTCTCGGTCGAAAGAGTTGTAGCAATTTGGCTCTGTCAGTGTCAATTCTGCAACAGATTTGTACAAGTTCTATAAGATCGAACGTCGTCTGGATGGAATGTCTGTGGAAGAGCTGTACAAAGTCGCGGAAAGATATCAGATACAGCCTTCGATAGACACGCACGAAGCACTTATCGATGCGATCATGTTGCATTTAGAATCAAACATCATGCTCTCTGGTACAGAACAATCTGGAACTTCTACGTCGCAAGAAATAATACCCTTGCATTCGAAAAGTAAGATGTGAAAAAATACAAGTAGTAGTTTCAAAAACTCTACCACCATCAACTAAACAGATGATAAAAATTGTGAATCGTTGCCTTCAGCAAGAAGAATTAATTTTTGGACAACTTCGCTCTCTGAATGAAAAGTGCAACGGCAACGCAGTGAAGAGCCGACGTAGAACAAATCTCGGTTCCCTCAACAAGAAGTAATTCATGTTACATTATTAAATTCGCTTCCTTCGGTCAATGCAGTCTCTCTGTTGACCCAGCAGATTCCAAATTTCGAAGGCTCTGAAGACGAGAATGTACTCGTGTTGACATAACAAATCGAGAAAATTGCTCAAGTTCATGGAGCACAGAAGAAGTTATTTTATTCGTGGCGTCTAGTAAGTTAATGTTTGCCGCCAAACGCTGGAGTAGTAAAGCAAGGCGGGTTCTAACCCATGGGGCTAGAAGGGAGCGCGGGGCGCGGGGGGTACTCGTAGGCGCGGAGGATGCTCGTAACGCAGGGAAGGGGGGGAAAAGGTCCCGGCGCTATTGATGTAAGGACCCCGGTCCTTATTTATTGCCGCCGCTCTGCAAAAATGCAAAGGCTTGCATACACTTACCGCATCTGTTACTACCATCTGTTTTTTTCTTACGTTTCATCTTTTCCGCCGCCGCCGCATTGTCACTCTCGCTATATCTTCATGCATGCAAACATATTTTATTATACGTTTTTATTTAAAAAGAGAACGCTTAATGTGTCGTGACAGTACCGTCGAGGGTGAAGGATGGGAAGTAAAAGAAAATACGTACGTAATAATGTAAACAAAAAATATTTATTCACATCTTATTACACTGGTTTTCGTACTTATTAAAAACTAAACTAATAGTTCGCAATCGACGAGCTGATGTCCATTGAAGATGTCGCTATCACGTATAATGTTCTCAGATGCGTGGTTGAAGAATCGCTTATACTTGGTATCCACCGTATCGATGAGTCGAGCTAATCGTTCGAACGTTACATCGATACACCCGTCAAACATACGGCGTAGCGTCGTTTCGGTCATCGTAATGCGTACGAATGAAGAATCGAGACGTACGAGCGTAGCATCGTTCAGCATGCAAACACTGACGGTTAGTCCAATGCTTATAAAATTATCCTTGTATTCGTTTCGAAACATCTTGTAAATATTCCCACGCTGTTCGTAGAGGCTCTTCCACGTTTCGAGAGACAGCGATAGTTCGTGTCCGCGATGATCTCCAAGGGCGACCTCTACGTAACTCGGTGGGCCAACGTTGATTCCAATTTCCAAAAATTTGTAGCCGGTATTCGTCAGATCGTAACGTCTGCTCAATAAACGCACCGTACGATGCTCCGTACTGTATACATACATAATGTTAAAAAACGTTTCTTTTGTGTATAGAACGTTGAAACTTACATGTTATATTCCTTCTTCACATCGTACGATGCACTGCTCTCTTTAGTGAAGTACATTTTTTCAACCGTTCGTACAAGCGGGTATCGCAAGACTGATTGCATCCGCGTAAATTGTGGCGTAATACTTCTGGAAGCGATGAGAGAAGGCAGGTCCTCCCCCTCTTTCCAAGAATTTCGAACACGTTGCGACACGTTTATACATACGTTTATACATACGTACATACACACGTACATACATACGTACATACATACGTACATACGTTTATACATTACAAAGGAAAG